CTTGATTTTACTTATTACCTAATTTGATAAGGCACAGCACTGTGAGGCAGCACACTTGTTAGTAGACATCATAAAATAATATCATAGCTCAGATTTAAGTTTCAATTGTTTAAAACGCGAATCTGTTAGCTGACTGCATATATCTGCTCATTTAATTTTATTGAGAGAAATATTTCTGTATGCAGTTTAAATTAATAAAATTTAAAAAATACAATTTGACTAATGTGCTATCATTCCATCTCATACAAGTCGACACTTTAAAGGCTAAAATCATGGCTATGAACAATTTATCCCCAGGCAAGACTGAATCTATGGTTATAGTATGTCCGTTTTATATAAGAGATCTGTGGAATACTACTATTTTTATCTCCTACAACTCCAAGAGGTGTTGAGATCTGAAATCCATATTTAAAATAATAATAGTTCTTATTTTATCTTTATCAATAGGAAATATTTAGGGCATTGAGTTCTTCCTGTGGAAGAGATAGAAGCCGGTGTTCAATTTCGCTGGTGTGGGAGGATCAATATGGTCTTGAGAATGTTCACATGATCAATGTGGTCTTGAGAATGTTAGAACATTTTTTTTTAATTTATTTACTTTTTTATAACTTCCAAATCCAGGACACACAAATAATTCTAAATATGATCATATCTTTGTTCTTTTTGATGAAAAAAAATAAATCTCAAATAATGTAATGAAATATTTCTAGCATGAAAAACAACATGTATCTTGGAAGTGGATGACATGGTGATATTTTCTTTGTCTCAATTATTAACCTCTGCTCAAACACCAAAAAGATATACAGACTTCTCATTTAAACATTCAACAAATTGCCAGATATTTATATCCAAAGCTACTTACAAATAAAGACTTACCTTTTCAGCAAATACTGACTACAATTAGGGGAGAGTAGGGATGAAAGTAAAGTGATTTTTTCAAAGCACTGACAACATTTGCTTTCCAGGCTATAACAGCACATTCAGTATGCATCCCTTGATGGAGCTGCCAAATATCATGTGATTTCGGCACCGTGTACCGAATTTAGCTCCAAATTTCAGTTTTTAAGTGCAAAAAGTAAATTATAGCGGTTCTTTTCTCCTTATTACAAATTGTGTTTCTGCTTTCATGTATCAATGATCAATCTACAGGTGATTCAGTGCAATAACACATCCTTAAGTTTGAAATTACAGAGTTTTTTCATTGTAAAAGTAAATCAGATTTAAATGGTGAGAGTTCCTGTGGGGACGAAAGTAACACTGTTATTTATGTCACACTGATAATAGCCAAACCTTATTTTTCACATCCACATTAGAGTTTGCCATGTTTGGATTAATATACTTTTTAAAAAATGCATATGGCCAATAATAATAAAAATTAAAGCTGCAAGCAGCGATGATAGGGACCTCGCACCCGGGCTCACCGCCGCCCGGTGACCTTACAATGACAGAGAACAGCGAAAAATAATATTTTAAGCCAATATTTTAAAAAATCTAAGAAAATCACAGATTTATGCCAAACTTCCTCCTGTCAGCAGGTGGCACTATGACTGTGACTCAAGATTGGCATGTAGATGTCTTCCGGAGAGGAATCTTATCAACCATGTGAAATTTCAGGCACATGGGACATTGTGTGGCTGAGTTATAAGCCAAACTACCTTCTGCCAGCAGGTGGCGCTAATAAAGACTCAATATTATTATGTAGATGTGCTCAGGAGAGGACTTTCATCAACCATGTGACATTTTAGGCAGATCTCACATTGTGTGGCCGAGTTATAAGCCAAACTTCCTTCTGCCAGCAGGTGGCGCAATGACTGACTCAATATTGTTATGTAGATGTGTTTAGGAGAGGACTTGTATCAATCATGTGAAGTTTCAGGCAGATCAGACATTGTGTGGTTGAGTTATAAGAACTTCCTGTTCCATGGCGAAGCGTTGAGGTTTGTCATGCCGCCACGGACACGCCCCTCTGTGAAAACTCTAGATCTTCGCAATATATCATCGCTAGAGCTTTCAGATGACACCACCCAAATTTGGTGTTGATACGGGAAAGTTTGTGGAAGGAGTTTGTTACAGTGTCAACATGTCATTTCCTGTGGCCAGCAGGTGGCGCTATGACTGTAACTGGATATCGGCACGTAAACCTGATCAGGTCAGGACTGTTATTAAATGTGTGAATTTTGAGGCAGATCGAATATTGCATGCCTGAGTTATAACGACTTCCTGTTTTGTGGCGAATCATCAAAGTTTGCAAGGCCGCCACGGACACGCCCATCGATAAAAACTCTAAAGCTTCGCAATTTAACATCACCAAGGCTTTAAGATGACAAAACCCAATTTTGGTGTTGATCGGATAAAATCCCTAGGAGGAGTTCGTTAAAATACAACGCCTGAAAATGGCAAAAACGCCACTTTTTCGCCGCAGGAAATTAAAAATATCCGACTTCCTGTTGGGTTTGAGATATGGCTCCAAGAGACTTTTTCGTATGTTTTGCCATGTTTGAGGTGTGTGCCAATTTTTGTGCATGTGCGTGATTCGTGGATCGGGGGCTCGTCCGTTTAATTTTTCTAGGTGGCGCTGTCGAGTCATATTGCCACATCCACTTCAATATTGTTATGGGGATGTGTTCAAGAGATGACGTTTATCAACCATGTGAAGTTTCAGGCAGATCGGACATTGTGTGGTTGAGTTATAAGGACTTCCTGTTCCATGGTGTAGCGTTGAGGTTTGTCATACCGCCACGGACACGCCCTTCTGCGAAAACTCTAGATCTTCACAATATATCATCGCTAGAGCTTTCAGATAACACAACTCAATTTTGGTGCTGATACAATAAAATTTGTGGGAGGAGTTTATAACTCCGTAAATTATGTCATTTCCTGTGGCCAGCAGGTGGCGCTATAACTGTATCTGGATATCGGCATGTAAATGTGTTCAGGTCAGGACGCTTATCAAGCGTGTGAATTTTGAGGCAGATCGGATAATGCATGCCTGAGTTATAACGACTTCCTCTTTTGTGGCGAATCGTCGGAGTTTGCGAGGCCGCCACGGACACGCCCATCGATGACAACTCTAAAGCTTCGCAATTTAACATCGCCAAGGCCTTTAGATGACAAAACCCAATTTTGGTGTCGATCGGATAAAATCCCTAGGAGGAGTTCGTTAAAATACAACGCCTGGAAATGGCAAAAACGCCACTTTTTCGCCGCAGGAAGTTAAAAATATCCGACTTCCTGTTGGGTTTGAGATATGGCTCCAAGAGACTTTTTCGTATGTTTTGGTGTGTTTGAGGTGTGTGCCAATTTTCGTGCATGTGTGTGATTCGTGGATCGGGGGTTCGTCCGTTTAATTTTTCTAGGTGGCGCTGTCGTGTCATTTTGCCACGCCCACTTCCGAAGCCCATAAACGTAAATTTTCGCCACTTCTGAGGCGTGTGCAAAGCTGCGTGAGTTTTCGGGCATGTTTAGCCCCTCAAAACCGCGATTCATTCCGCGGAAGAAGAAGAAGAAGAAGAAGAAGAAACGGAGCAATTCCAATAGGGCCTACGCACCGTTTCGGTGCTCAGTCCCTAAATATATATAAAATGTAGAAATTTTGAACTGTTGGATTGCTTTTCAAACATTTGAACTATATGATGACAACTGATTTCAAAGTTTACCTTGATTTGGAAAAGTCAAGGTCTTAAAACTGCTAAAATCTTCAGTTATACCATTCCTAAAGCAGATGTATGTGTGTTTTGTGTGTGTTTTTTTAGTGCTTTAAAGAAATCTGTGTTTTAAAAAGTAACGAAGAGAGCAGAAGTCAATCATTTATTTGAATTATGCAGCCTGACGGGTTTACTGTTACAAAATATTTTAAATGTTTCTTAAAAAAATATATATTATGTTCAATGAAGGAAAATGTGTTGCATTTTTACCCAGACATTTAAAAATAACTTATTTTAGAGCAGTAATCACAATACCATGATAGCTTACTGTGAAAATATGATATTTTTATCCAAGGTTATCATATACCTATACACTGGCCCATGCCTAGATGGAACTAAAATTAAAAATGAAAATTCATTCATTCATTTTCTTTTCGGCTTAATCCCTTTATTAATCCGTGGTCACCACAGCAGAATGAACCGCCAACTTATTCAGCATATTTTACACAGCAAATGCCCTTTCATCTGCAATCCATCACACACATACACTACGGCCAATTTAGCTTACCAAATTCAACCCACGTGAACACGGGAAGAGCATGCAAACTCCACACTGCCTTCTGAACCAGCCAAGGTTTGGACCAGACTTTCTTGCTGTGAGGCAATCATGCTACCCACTATGCTACCGTGATGCCCTTAAACATAAAAATGCATTTTTTTTTAATAAAAGGACAAAATATGTTTGCAGTGAACATTAACAAGATCACAGTCAGATATATTTGAAATAAACAAGATTGAGTCTGTAAATCTAGCAAATAATGTTGTGTTACTTTTGACCCATCCATGTGTTACTGACAGAGTCAATATATGGGCAATTTATGTTTAATGTGAAATTATTATGAAGCTGTTCAACATTTGTTCAAAATACCACCTGGTGTTGATAGACAGCACTTATGAGTTAGTAACCACAGCAAAAAATATATTTCTGTCCAAAGCATGATCTTTTAAAAATAGGTTTTTATGGAAAATGGTAACCTACTTTCGTCCCGTTCTCCCCTACAACTTTGTTGCATTAACATATATTTATGCTTTGTTGTTATCAACCACAGAGAAAATGCATACATCAACATACCTTTGAATTGTGCTGTTTAGTCTCTCATGAACTGAATATTTCATTCATGTCATGAATGACATATTTAAAATAAACTGGCAGTGGGACTTCAAATTCCTGACATATACTTATATCAAGCACCTGACAGAATTAAAGGTTTTGTTTCATTGTAAAAGTTCTTACTCAGTTTGTGTCAATCCTTGACCTTGAATATGAAGCACAACTAAACTTAAAAACAGACTCAGTTTATTTGTGAAAACAGGATTTATTTTCATCTGCCAACAGCTGTAGTTTGTTAATTTGCTTTAGTTACAAAACATAATTAAGACCATGATGTCGTATTACAGAAAAATAGTCGGAAAAATAAACTATTAGTAAAACAGTCAAACTCTAGACAATGGTTAGCATGTACCGCTAAAGCTCATGACAATTTGCTGTAGTTGCGCTCCCTCTAGTGGTTTAGACAGGCAGTGCCACAGCAAAATTAAAATGCTGATTTGGCATACGAATGTGATTGAGATGCTCCAAATTTACTGAAAATTGTGGATAAAAGAGCTGCATAGTAACAAAATGCGCAGAATAATCCAAACTACATCAGATTATAACTGTGAGCCACTTATTATTAGTCTATTTAATTTCAACCCCTTGGATCCTGACTTCGCCTTCGAAATGCATATACTTATACTTCTCTGAGCCTTGACGGTTCGGGAAGTGGATTTCAGAACCATCAGGAAGAGTCACCAGAAATTCTTCATTGGTGAATGTGATTTTTATCTGAAGGGAAAAAAAAGGAATGAAAGAAATGAGAGTTTATGTTATCCACTTACAGTGCACGGTTGAATTACATGATGATGATTTTAGTCAGGGTGAAATCTAGATCACTGGCTTTAGAGAAAAAAATTGATTTAAAATTTAGAGGAACAAATAAAAATAATAGTCGGAGTGGAACAGACAGCACTGGCTATGAGATATTTACTGATGTGCCATGGCCTGAGAGATAGCAGATCAGCATGTGTTTAATATAAATAATATGTGTTTTACTCATGCTTATTGTCTGACCTCAGTCAGTGACACAGTCTGTGTGTGTGTGTGTGTGTGTGTGTGTGTGTGTGTGTGTGTGTGTGTGTGTGTGTGTGTGTGTGTGCGCGCGCGCGCGCGTGTGTGTGTGTGTGTGTGTGTGTTTTATGTTGACATTGTGGTATGAGGTGTTCACCTGTTCTTATTTAATACATTGTTTTTTTTAAGTTTAAATTGTGATGTTTTATTTATTTTCTTTTATTTAGATCATTTGATTGTTGTTATTTTTCTCCACACATTTCAAGATTTGGTGATGTTGTACTTTTATGGTCATGCCAATAAACCAATTTTGAAAAGAACAGATATATTCTCATTGTCAAAACCTCAGAGAACTGCAAACATGCTAATGAGTTGCTAAAATTAATATTTAAGAACAAGTTTGCTTTAAGTACTTTACCTTGAAGTGGCTTGATTGATAACTTAGAAAAAAATCTCTGATTATATAATCCAGATTGTGTGTAAGCAGTTACTATTCAGCTTATAGGGATATTTCACATCAATATAAATATTTACTCACTATTTAACCCCTCTTGGGTGGTTCAAAAGCTTTTAAAGTTTGTCAGTTGAAAACAAAAGAAGATATTTTGAAGAATGTAAGAAAACCAGTTGGCATTGACATCCATAGTAGGAATAAAAAAGTACTATGGAACTCAATGGATACCGGTTTCCAACATTTTTTTAAATATCTTTTTTTGTGCTCAGAACAAGTGGACAGAGAGCAAATGATGACAGAATTTTCATTCTTATGTGAGCTATTTTTTTAAGTTCATGCTTAAATAGCAATTCCTTAATTTTCCTTTCGGCTTAGTCCGTTTATTCATTAGTGATCACCACAGTGGAATGAACCGCTAACTTATCCAGCATATGTTTTACACAGCGGATGCCCTTCCAGATGCAACCCAGTACTGGGAAACATCAATACAAAATCATTCACACACATAAATTACGACCAATTTAGCTTATCCAATTCACCTATAACTCAGGTGTTTGGACTGTGGGAAAAACCGGAGCACCCGGAGGAAACCCACGCGAACACAGGGAGAACATGCAAACTCCACACACAATTGCCGAATGACCCAGCGGGACCTGGGTTAGGTCCAGGGACCTTCTTGCTGTGAGGCGACAGTGTTAACCACGAGCCACCGTTTCACCCTGCTTAAACAGCACCTCAATATAAATCACTATGAAATAAAAACTGATTTTATTTTGTGTATTAAATCAGTGTTTAATGTGCACATTATTATTGATTTCATTGACATTAAAACATGCCTTTGATGTAATCAATAAATTCCAGATGCAACAAAATCACTGATGATGAATTCAGTGCCTTGTGGGTGGGGCTACCTGAACTCAGACGAGACAAAACGTGCATCTGAAATTGCATACTCATGCACTATTCTACGCCATCTTGTAGTGCAAATAGTGTAAGTAGTGCACTCACACTAAAATATTCATGTTATTCCAACAAGAGTAAGTGTACTTTAAATACCCAGATGATGCCCTTTGTCATACATTAAAAAGGAAGTGTGAAGTGTGAATGATGGACATGTCACACACTTAACAGACGCAGCTTTGCTCAACTAGCGGAAGAGGCAGAGCTTTCGAGCACTAATGCTGGATTACTTAATTTATTTAGGATTGTGAAAGCAAAATTCTCCTACGAGAGTGTTTATACCTTTCTCCAGATTGTGAATGCAGTTTTACTCATGACAGGTATTATTTGGTAGTTTGGTCATTTACTTCTCTAATTTGGGAACCCTCAAACATCCTAAGGGAAACAGTTTGAATTTCCACTTAGTAAAAAAACCATTAGTGGTCCATTTGGAACTACACTACATACATATACTATGCTCTTGAGTGTGTAAGTGCATAAGTACATAATGTGCCATTTGGGGTTCAGCTATAGTCCTTTGAATGAGATCACAGCCTTAGCAAACCACTGTGTTCCAATCTATACCAATGAGTTAAAAACTATTCCCAACCTACATTTTATTTTTTGTTTGAAAGGCAATAAACTTGCCTTTACAAAGACAAAAATGATCAACTTCTTGTCATGCCAACTTCAGGTTTAATGTGAAAGTGTTGCATCTTGCCTGAAACTCCTTGTCCTGAATAAATGGAAAGTTGTTGTCTCTGTGCTCCTCACACCAGCTGCCGCTCTGGAATGAATTGCACACTATAGTGCACTGGTCCCCATGGGCATCAAATCGGGGATTCATGTGGAGAGCGATGTCTTCAGGGCTGTGACCAATGTTAATAGCAAAACTGCAAAAGGGAATATGGAAGATATACTTTTTATTGCTTTCAACATTCTAGATTCTAATAGCTGCATTTTGGAAACTTACTTTGTGGAATCAGGCTTTGGAACTCCTGTTATAGTCAGAGTCTGTCCAACTTTGAAGGACATATTCTGTATAAGCACACCCTAGAAGACAAAAAAGAGAGAGCGCACAGTGTGCTTAATTCCATATAAATAGATTTTCCTTTTGTATATCACACAGACTGATTAATCTGACACACACACACTACAGGTCTGGATAGCAGAACATGTGGATCCACTTAAATTTGACTTGTACAGGTGGGCAATGTGCCCAGTTGTTTTTTTGTTTTTTTTCCTGGACGCCAATGAGAGGCTTTTGTTATAATAATGGAGTAGACAAAATCAGCCTTGGCAATGAAGGTTGTCAAATGTTCCTATATGGACTGAAAGGAAAATCCTGATTCAATGGTAAAAGGCAAAGAGCCAGAGCTGAACTTTCAAAAAACTGCAGATGTGGCACTGCTGCTCTGGAGAAAAGCTGTGCATATATTCTGTAATGGCAACCATCAGATCACTAGCAACCACATAACAACACCCTATAGCAAACACTCACTGTATCATAGCAACCACATAACAACACCCTATATCAAACACTCACTGTATCATAGCAACCACATAACAACACCCTATATCAAACACTCACTGTATCATAGCAACCACATAACAACACCCTATAGCAAACACTCACAGTTTCCTGTAAAAACCTAGAAGTGATACAGCTTTGAATACTTTGCATGCTCACATTATTACAGTATAATTTTGATTTTCCTTAAAAAAAACACTACATTTAAAAAAGAATTATTGTAGATATGTATCTAAAATATGCACAGTAATCTGTCCTGAGTAAGGGTCCCAGATCATCAGTTAACTACACATATACCGGGAGTAATTTCCCATTAAAGCAATGTTACTGTAAAAAATATATATAATTAAACCATTTTAACAAAAATAACTGTAAGCAAAAGAAAGCAGGTGAAACACAGGCCTACTGTGTTTGATAATGAAAGGATGATCATCACGTGCACATGGTTAATGTTATACTGCTAATCTGTTCAAAGAATAATTAAAATGAAAGCAGTGACCGCTGCTGCTTACAAAATAATATGTGTATTTATTTTTCAATCTTGAGCTCCTGAAAGCAGCAGGACTGTGGGTGCACGATCACTGCTCTTTGTCCAGTCTATTTGAAAGGAAACCGATCGGACCAGTTGCGCTTCCTCTAGGCACGGTTGTTCGCGCAAGTAAACGGGAGCGCGCGCGATTTTTCGGAATTTACTTTCTTTTTTGCTGTTTTTCTCGCGCGAACACAGTTATTTTTGTCAGTCGTGCTGCAACTCAATTCTATGATCACATTTGCCCGATTAATATTGGGCCACCCTTATTGTCGAACCCTGCTTTTAAGAAAACTACAATTGAAAAATGATTTCTAACCAGCCAAAGTGGCTAGATGTCTGTCTAACCCGCCAGAGCTGAAATCTACCCGCATTTGGTGGGTTGATGTAAAGCCCTGTATATTATATATATATGTATATATATATATAATAAATGGCAAGTGTTGATGTTGTTTCTTGACTAAAGACCCAATTGACAAAGAGCAATTCCAATCTTTTTGTCTCATTCAATGTCCTTTTCAACAACAAAAAAAATTGCAATTGCATTTTTAAAGTTTTGAAAATAATCTTTGCTGTCTCTGTGTAAGGTAGGAAGATGTGATTTTGAAATAATTTGACAACCAAAACAACAATAGTGACTACAGGACTGTATGTGCATGTGCGTCTTTAAGAAGTGACATCACCACCTATACTGGCCTCCCATGCATAAAACAGCACTTCCAGAAAAGGGGACATTTTTTCCATATATGTCATTGTCGAAACTTAAGAACACGAAAAGAAAACATGTCTTTAAGTAAATAATTTTAAGTTAACATTCAATACAACTCTAAGATTTTAAAACTAAAATATTGATTACTAGGCTTCCTTAGACAACTGCAAAGTTTGTTTATTAACTTTACTTATCCACCAAATGCAGATAAGAAGTTACTGTATCTTATGATAATTCAGTCAGTAAATCAATGGACAAGCCATCTCTGAGAGAGCTGGTCATTGTTTAGAAGCCAAGTTTGAACAACAGCTGCCAAAATCAAACCTTATACTGTATACAAGACCTCTGTGACTCACAGCTGCCATGGAAAAGATTTATATAGCTGTTTAATGATGACAGAGAAGATGCAGACTGCAGCTGGCTGAACAGTAAAGAGAAAGAAAATGATCAGACAGAGAGATAGGAAGTGAAAAGTTTCTGAATAAGAATGTGAAAGCACAGATGTGTAGCAAAAGTGAATTCTTTCCACATTAGTCTTTGTACATTTTTGCAGAAGAAGCCCCTGCAGAATGACCCCTCCTATTCCTTCCTTAATATTCTGTTTAGCTGCAAAAGGGAAGAGGGACAGTGATGCTCAGGCTTTCAGTTCAGCATTGTGAGAAATCACTGAGTCATGCTGCTTTCTCTGAGCTAAGCTAAAGGCCTTTTTTCAATGCACCCAGACCATAGCTGGGCTTGAATTGGGCAGTCTTACTTCATTATTAGTAACGGCAGAAGACTGAACAGCAAAGTTAACGTCTGTCCTAAATTGAGCATGATTCACTTTTATTATTTGATTATGATGCAATTCTCAATAAACACATCAGCCAACTGATTTGAAATATAATTACATTTACGGCGAGAAACCAGCAGCCATTTCAGGGTCACAAGATCCTTTTGAAATCATCCTAATATGCTGATCTGATTTCTTACCACACAGTAAGAAACAGTTTCACAGTTCATGGCTTAATATATTTTAAAATATTTTTGAGGAGACACACTGTTTTCCATTCCACCATTTGTTCATGTACTTAACTTTTGCAAAAAAAAAAAGTTTTTCTGTAACTTGTGTTCTATTTCAAGCATCCTTGTGAAAGAAAATTACTAACTATTTTTACTTAATCTTGATGACCTCAAATTATAGCAAACTATATTCGGGATACTATATTTATATATATATATATATATATATATATATATATATATATATATATATATATATATATATATATACAACAAGGCCAAAGACATTAAAACTAAATTTTAAAAGAGGAAAGTGCTCAACTTTTTTACGAACCTCCCTTGTCCAAAGGGCTTTTCTAGTCACATGATGTCACACTCACACTATTATTCAAACCTTAATTTAATCAAAAAAATTGCTTTACTATATTATTTTTAAGGTTATTAACGTTTGAAATTAAACTCATTTTGCACTGCATTCATAAATAACTTATAAAGTAAATTATATATATATATATATATATATATATATATATATATATATATATATATATATATATATATATATATATATATATATATGAACACCAGTACATCATTATGATGAAATTTGATTAAGTTTTAGAAATAACCACACATAACAGTAAGTGTATTAAAGTTATGAGGGGTCACACCCATGAACAATGCACGTGGCTACAATATCTATAAGAAATAGCAAACAGACAAGACAACAGACTGTACAGCATCAACAAGCATAAGGACTTCGGATGCTTGGAGTAGGCAACATACTATATATTAGTAGAATTTAGACGAAACATTATGCCATATGCTCTCTTAATCATAAACAAATCTCATTCAGTCCATTTGACATAAAACTTAACAATAATATATCGACTTGTAATATACTCACGGCCATTTTGACGTCTTTTGAGACCTATTGTGAAGTGAAACGAAGAGTCAGGGAGAAAGTTGCGCAGTGCGAGGGCTTCTTATGCCCACTGTGTTCAGCTCTTCAGATGAGCGATCTTTGCTTCAGCCAATTAGATTTTTGTGTCTGTCCCACCTCGACCAATCGCAAGAAAAGGCATGCAGAGTTACTGTATGGGTCTATTTCTAGGCATACCCTTGTAATGCGCTATAAATACACCTAACTAATTAAAACTGAACGAATTTAAGCACTGTGAATGTTGGTGTACATTGCGAGAGACGACAATTGATGTAATTATACGCTTGTAAAGAATAACAAATGTACTTATAAGGCTTTATTAAAATATTTGGCTTCGGTCTACAATGTGATTGAACGCGTATTGCAGTTGACAGGCTTATGAAGAGAAGAAAAATGTCACAGGTTGTAAAACATACTGATCATATAATAAGTAGGAGTTGGTATTCTAGACTACAACAATAGTATTATTATGATTTTATTAGTGTATTACATTGGCATCATTGATCATAACATGTTACAAGGGCCAACACTAACAGTAAGCTTTCTTTCACAGAACAAACAGTACAACAGCAGAAACAGCACAGAAACACCAACAGTGAGAGACAGACAACAACAGAGAACAGACAGAGACAGAGAAAATCTGCCATCAATTAGTTTTATAAAATGAAAAGAGAAAAATATATTTAGCTTTTTTTTTTTTTTTTTTTATAAATTCTTCATGGTATTTCCCAAAAATGATATTCTTTCATTTGTTCTCATTTTAAAAATACACTGTATATGTTATGATAAAATGTCAAATAAAATTGAAATTTAGGCTTTTCTGCACACAATCACTCAACATTGCTGCACATTTCTGCAACTATCACCAATACTCCACAACTACAGTATCACCATCACTCAGATTAGGTCCCCACCCCACCTCTTAGACCAGAATTTCACCCTTGTTCATGTCAAATAAATATGTGCTGCTCACATGCCACTTATGCGTTGTGTTGTACTGAGAAACGCCCCTGCCGTAAAATACACCCCTTTCATAGACTTTCATTAGAACTGTCAGTCTTCTGTAAGGTAAAGATTAACTGTGTTATTAAAAAGATTGTATCAATTTCAGCTATGCATATTTCAGAGGGGGTGCATTTTATGCAGGGGTAACAGTCTTTTATGTAGGCCACAGGTGTCAGCCTGCAGTGAGTTTTGCAAGTCTAAAGTTTAAACAATATGATGATCTATTTTTGACTAATGACTCCTTATAGATTATTATTTATTTTATTTTATTTAAATATTTTTTGCATGAAGCAGAAAGGAAGGATGAGGTCAGGGAGTTTAGACCATTCATTCATTTTCTTTTCTGCTAGTCCCTTTATTAATCTGGGGTTGCCACAGTGGAATGAATCGCAAACTTATCCATCATACGTTTTATGCAGCGGATGCCCTTTTAGCTACAGCCCATCCCTGGGAAACATCCATACACTCTCATTCACACACATACTGTAGGAGCCATTTGGCAACTTTTCATTGTTCCACTAAGTGGTGCTCTTTAAACAGGCTTTATAAGTGGGAACGAATATTCAGGTAACAGGTGATGCTAGACGGAGGGGAGCACATTTTTGACCACACACTCTCACACACAGAGCCACACACACTCACACACAAACAATCGCACACACATATGCACACACGTTCATTTACGCTTTAGCGTGACGATTTGTTTTGTTGGCTTGTAAGTCACGATATGTGGCAGTGTTTGATGTTTACGAACGAAAACTTACCTGGAAGGAAACTTGTGAACTATTGGAGTGTGCAACTGCAATAAACCTAAATATCTATGGAAACAAGTAGGCCTATACTGTTCATTGCATTTACAGTTCATCAGCCAAGAGTGCCTGTCTAACAACATGTCAGGGACTTCAAGCAAAAGGCTTAGCCTCTACACATACACTAGGGACAATTTGGAGTTCAGACTTAATAAACCTAATTCTTGGCCATGAGTCGGGTCTAATGCCGAGTTCAGACTGCATGATTTTCAAAGTAGTCGTGTCGCAGATGTTTTCACACAGCATGACTATCTGGGCTAGCGTTTCGTCGCTGCTTTGTTTACACTGCAAGATGGATCAGTGACAGGGACTTTCACATTGCATGACTTTACTATAGGAAGAATCGCCGACAACTTCGTCTCACAGCCAAAAACACAGTATATATTTTGTTATTAACTACATAATGTGAAAGAAGCCTTTAATGGGGTAGAAAATGTACATATTTGCTCACCTGGGTTTAAAGGGAATTAGCCATTTCTCTTCAACATTGATAATAAACTAATTTTCTTCTGGATGAAACGTCAAACAGACACGGTTGCTCCTGAGTCCTGTCAAACCTCCACTAGTTTTTCCTCCATTTTGTGAGTCCAAATAAACCGAAAATGAGCGCTTTTAACTTTGCCTGTGATTTTAGGCATTTGTCGGAGATTTCTCAAATCGGGGCTAAAATCACGCAGTCTGAACTAGGCATAAGACAACACACAACAGATAATTCTATAAAACATTTTTTTGTGTGTGTGTGTGTGTGTTCTTTACAATTGTCTATAGAATTTCATTCTAATGAAATTAACATATTTATATATATTTATTAATAGGCCTATATTTATAAATTCTTAAATGATCTTAGCATATCACTTCAGTCTTTACATTGTTTTCCAGATACATTTAGAATATATTTTTTATTTATTTAGAATAGAATAATAAATGGATAATAATACTTTTATTTATAATAAAATTTTTTTATAAAAAGTATTTATTCAAATAATATAGAATTTTTATAGATTTATAAATAGGGCGTGGTTTGGTTTGGGCGTGGCTTGTGGGCATAGAGGTGGGGCATAAATTCTCACCCTATGCTAAAGCCAAAAGCTGGCAGCCTTGGTTCACAGGTAACGTGTTTTGACTGAGTGCAAAGAGAAGTTAATAATTAATGTAACCACATACATTCTGTATATTGACTGATCGTTTGCCTTTATTTTCCATAATGTATAAACTTATTGTGCATTATACTTTCATAATGGCTATTATTGATTATTAAAACTGACATTCAGCAAAGCAGAGGGTTTCGTATTTTAAATGAAAATGAGGCAGCTCCCACTTGTATTCGCTCCATTTGGAGTGGATCTCAGTTGGACGGCAAAAGAATACCACGCGAGGTCCATTAACGCTCTTATCTTTTATTCTCAATCACCTCCCTTGGTCCCAAATCATGAATCAGCAAATAATCGTGTACATGGAATCCTTGACTGGTAAATTACCCTGCACTGGTACCCTGACTGGGACTAGTCCACAACGTATGACGTGTCGTTGAGATTGCGATTCATTCATTGGTTCACCTGATTTAAGTTTTCGCGCTTTAGAACTTCTGTTAACGTTAAAGGAACATACTGCGCCTGAAACCGCATAATTAAGATTACCAAATAAAATAATATTTATTTTAATTAATATTATTTACTCACATATCAGACCTCAAGACTGTAGACTGCTAAAGTTATAACAAACTACATTTAATGTATTCTCTGATTGTAATTATGAGTCGCTCCTGTCTAGACGGGCTGCATTTACTCTGCATGGTTCAAGTGCAATTAATGTAAAAGCTCTAAAAGACATCATTAAAGATATCATATGCTCGTGCCAGTAATCAACATTTACCAAGATCTAGAATTCAATGGCTATTAGTGAAAACCGAGTGTGCCTCGAGAAGCGACCGGAAAGGGGAATCTGAGGGCTCTTTTGTCGCCCCCTGGTGGATGGATAATAGTCATAAACATACCCTTTTCCATGAAAGCGAATGTAATTTTAGTCAAAGTTTTAAAGGACATAACACTTTCAGTAATACCACGATCTGTGCTCATTTTTATGATAAGCTTGATTTTACTTTTTAGCTAATTTGATAAGGCACAGCACTGTGAGGCAGCACTGTTGTTAGTAGACATCATAAAATAATATCATAGCTCACTGAAGATTTAAGTTTCAATTGTTTAAAATGTGAATCTGTTAGCTGACTACATATATCTGCTTATTTAATTTTATTGAGTAAAATATTTCTCTATGCAGATTAAATTAATAAAATTTAAAAAATACAATTTGACTAATGTGGTATCATTCCATCTCCAAATCCATATTTAAAATAATAATAATAATAATAATAATAGTTCTTATTTTATCTTTATCAATAGGAAATATTTAGGGCATTGAGTTCTTCCTGTGGAAAAGATGGAAGCCGGTGTTCAATTTCGCTGGTGTGGGAGGATCAATGTGGTCTTGAGAATGTTAGAACATTTTTTATTTATTTATTTACTTTTTCATAATTGCTTAATCCAGGACACACAAATAATTCGTAATATGATCATGTCCTTGTTCTTTTTGATGAAAAAAAAATCTCAAATAAATTAATGAAATATTTCTAGCATGAAGAACAACATGTATCCTGGAAGTGGATGACATGGTGATTTTTTCTTTGTCTCAATTATTAACCTCTGCTCAAACACCAAAGATATACAGACTTCTCATTTAATCATTCAACAAATTGCCAGATATTTATATCCAAAGCTACTTACAAATAAAGACTTACCTTTTCAGCAAATACTGACTACAATTAGGGGAGAGTAGGGATGAAAGTAAAGTGATTTTTTTCAAAGCACTGACAACATTTGCTTTCCAGGCTATAACAGCACATTCAGCATGCATCCCTTGATGGAGCTGCCAAATATCATGTAATTTCAGCACCGTGTACCGAATTTAGCTCCAAATTTCAGTTTTTAAGTGCAAAAAGTAAATTATAGCGGTTCTTTTCTCCTTATTACAAATTTAGTTTCTCCTTTCATGTATCACACTAATGATCAATCTGCAGGTGATTCAGTGCAATAACACATCCTTAAGTTTGAAATGTCAGAGTTTTTTCATTGTAAAAGTAAATCAGATTTAAATGGTGAGAGTTCCTTTGAGGACAAAAGTAACACTGTTATTTATGTCACACTGATTTTAGCCAAACCTTATTTTTCACTTCCACCTTAGAGTTTGCCATGTTTAAATTCATATGTTTATAAAAAAAGTTATGCATATTGCCAATAATAATAATAATTATAATAATAAATGCATAAACATTGTAGAATTTTTCAACATTTTGAATTGTTGGATTGCTTTTGAAACATTTGAACTATTTGACAACCAATTTTAAAGTTTACCGTGGTTTGAAAAAGTCAAGGTTTTAAAACCGCTAAAATCTTCTGTTATACCATTCCTAAAGCAGATGTACGTGTGTTTTGTGTGTGTTTTTTTAGTGCTTTAAAGAAATCTGTGTTTTAAAAAGTAACGAAGAGAGCAGAAGTCAATCATTTATTTGAATTATGTATCCTGACGGGTTTACTGTTACAAAATATTTTAAATGTTTCTTAAAAAAATATATATTATGTTCAATGAAGGAAAATGTGTTGTATTTATACCCAGACATTTAAAAATAACTTATTTTAGAGCAGTAATCACAATACCATGATAGCTTACTGTGAAAATATGATATTTTTATCCACGGTTATCATATACACTGGCCCATGCCTATAGATGGAACTAAAATTAAAATTTTTTTCATTTTCTTTTCGGCTTAATCCCTTTATCAATCAGGGATTGCCACAGCGGAATGAACTGCCAACTTATTCAGCATATGTTTTACGCAGCGAATGCCCTTTCATTTGCATCACGCACATACATACACTACGGCCAATTTAGCTTACCCAATTCATTCTTTAGACTTGTGGAGGAATCCGGAGCATCCGGAGGAAACCCACATAAACACAGGGAGAGAATCCAAACTCTACACTGCCAACTGAACCAGGTGAGGTTCGAACCAGTGACCTTCTTGCTGTGAGGCAATCATGCTACCCACTATGCTACCGTGATGCCCTTAAATATAAAAATGCTTTTTTTTTCCAAAATAAAGGACAAAATATGTTTGCAGTAAACATTAACAAGATCATAGTCAGATATGTTTGAAATAAACAAGTCAGTAAATCTAGTAAATATTGTTGTGTTACTTTTGACCCACCCATGTGTTACTGACAGAGTCAAAAGGAATATGGGCAATTTATGTTTAATGTGAAATTATAATTTCACATTAAACATAAATTGTCCATAGTTACTTTTATTATGAAGCTGTTCTACATTTGTTCAAAATACCACCTGGTATTGATAAACCACACTTATGAGTTAGTAACCACAGCAAATATATTTCTGTCTAAAACATGATCTTTTAAAAATAGGTTTTTATGAAAAATGATAGCCTATCTTCGTCCCGTTCTCCCCTACAACGTTATTGCATTAACATATATTTATGCTTTGTTGTTATCAACCACAGTTTAGTCTTTCATGCACTGAATATTTCATTCATGTCATGACCTATTTAAAATAAACTGGCAGTGGGACTTCGAATTCCTGACATATACTTATATCAAGCACCTGACAGAATTAAAAGGTTTGTTTCATTGTAAAAGTTCTTACACAGTTTGTGTACATCCTTGACCTTGAATTAGAAGCACAACTAAACTTAAAAACAGACTCAGTTTATTTGTGAAAACAGGATTTAATTTCATCTGCCAACAGCTGTAGTTTATTAATTTGCTTTAGTTACAAAACAGAATTAAGACCATGATGTCGTATTACAGAAAAATAGTCGGAAAAATAAACTATTTGTAAAACAGTCAAACTCTAGTCTAGAGTCTAGACAATGGTTAGCATGTACCGCTAAAGCTCATAGCAATTTGCTGTAGTTGCGCTCCCTCTAGTGGTTTAGACAGGCAGTGCCACAGCAAAATTAAAACGTTGATTTGGCATACAAATGTGATTGAGATGCTCCATAGTGACTAAAAAATGGTGAATAAAAAATCAGCAAAGCAATGAAATGCACAGAATAATATAGAATTAATCAGATTATAACTGTGAGCCACTTTTTATTAGTCTATTTAATTTCAATCCCTTGGATCCTGGCTTGGCCTGTAAAATTCATATACTTGTACTTCTCTGAGCCTTGACGGTTAGGGAAGTTGATTTCCGAACCATCAGGAAGAGTCACCAGAAATTCTTCATTGGTGAATGTGATTTTTATCTAAAGGAAGAAAAGGAATTAAAGAAATGAGAGTTTATGTTATCCACTTACAGTTGAATTACATGATGACAATTTTAGTCAGGGGGAAATCTAGATCACTGGCTTTAGAGAAAAAAATAGATTTAAAATTTAGAGGAACAAATAAAAATAATAGTCGGAGTGGAACAGACAGCACTGGCTGTGAGATATTTACTGATGTGCCATGGCCTGAGAGATAGCAGATCAGCATGTGTATAATATAAATGATATGTGTTTTACTCATGCTTATTGTCTGATCTCAGTGACACAGAATGTGTGTGTGTGTGTGTGTGTGTGTGTGTGTGTGTGTGTGTGTGTGTGTGTTTTATGTTGACATTGTGGTATGAGGTGTTCACCTGTTCTTATTTAATACCTTGTTTTTTTTAAGTTGAAATTCATTCATTCATTTTCTTGTCGGCTTAGTCCCTTAATTAATACGGGGTCGCCACAGCGGAATGAACCGCCAACTTATCCAGCAGGTTTTTACACAGCGGATGCCCTTCCAGCCGCAACCCATCTCTGGGAAACATACACACACACACACTCATACACTACGGACAATTTAGCCTACTGTGGGGGAAACCGGAGCACCTGGAGGAAACCCATGCGAACGCAGGGAGAACATGCAAACTCCACACAGAAACGCCAACTGAGCCGAGGATCGAACCAGCGACCCTCTTGCTGTGAGGCGAACGTGCTACTCACTGCGCCACTGCGTCGCCTAAGTTGAAATTTATTTATTTATTTCTTTTATTTTATTTAGATCATTTGATTGTTGTTATTTTTCTCCACACATTTCAAGATTTGGTGATGTTGTATTTTTATGGTCATGCCAATAAACCAATTTTGAAAAGAACTGATATATTCTCACTGTCAAAACCTCAGAGAACTGGAAACATGCTAATGAGTTGCTAAAATTAATATATTAAAATTAAGAACAAGTTTGCTTTAAGCATTTTACTTTAAAGTGGCTTGATTGATAACTTTAAAAAAAATCTCTGATTATATAATCCAGATTGTGTGTAAGCAGTTACTATTCAGCTTAAAGGGATAGTTCATTTCAATATAAATATTTACTCACTATTTAACCCCTCTTGGGTGAATCAAAAGCTTTTAAAGTTTGGCGGTTGAAAACAAAAAAAGATATTTTGAAGAATGTTAGACACAGGTAGGCACTGACATCCATAGTAGGAATAAAAAGTACTATGGAACTCAATGGATAGCAGTTTCAAACATTTTTTTTTCAGATTAAGTGGACAGAGATCTGAAGAAATGATGACAGAATTTTCACTCTTAGATGAGCTATATTTTTAAGTTCATGCTTAAACAGCATTCATTCATTTTCCTTTCAGCTTCATCTCTTTATTCATCAGTGATCACCACAGTGGAATGAACTGGGAACTGGGAAACATCAATACACACTCTATCACACACATACACTATGACCAATTTAGCTTATCTAATTCACCTATAACGCACGTGTTTGAACTGTGGGGAAAACTGGAGGAAACCCACACGAACAGGGGGACAACATGCAAAATCCACACACAAATGCCAACTGACCTTGCCAAGACTCAAACCAGGGACCTTCTTGCTTTGAAGTGACAGTGCTAACCACGAGTCACCGTTTCGCCCTGCTTAAACAGCACCTCAATTTAAATCAATATAAAATTAAAACTGATTTTATTTTGTCTATTAAATCAGTGTTTAATGTGCGCATTATTATTGATTTCATTGACATTAAAATATTCCATTAATTTAATCAATAAGAGCGACGCAGTGGGGCAGTAGCTAGTGCTGTCGCTTCACAGCAAGAAGGCCGCTGGTTGAGCCTCGGCTGGGTCAGTTGGCGTTTCTGCGTGGAGTTTGTATGTTCTCCCTGCGGTTGCATGGGTTTCCTCCGGGTGCTCTGGTTTTCCCCACAGTCCAAAGACATGTGGTACAGGTGAATTGGGTAGGCTAAACTGTCCGTAGTGTATGAATGTAAATAAGTGTGTGGATGTTTCCCAGAGATGGGTTGTGGCTGGAAGGGCATCCGCTGTGTAAAAACGTGCTGGATAAGCTGGCAGTTCATTCCGCTGTGCAACCCCGGATTAATAAAGGGACTAAAAAAACAAGAAAATGAATTAATGAATGAATGTAATCAATAAATTCCTGATGCAACAAAATCTCTTCTCTGATGATGAATTCAGTGCCTTGTGGGTGAGGCTACCTGTCACTCAGACGAGACAAAACGTGCATCTGAAATTGAAAATCTGAATACTTATGCACTATTCTACACCCTCTTGTAGTGTAAATAGTGTAAGTAGTGCACTCACACTGAAATATTTATATTATTCCAACAAGAATAAGTGTACTTTAAATACCCAGATGATGTCCTTTGTCATACATTAAAAAGGAAGTGTGATGTGTGAATGATGGACATGTCACACACTCAACAGTCGCAGCTTTGCTCACCTAGCGGAAGAGGCAGAGCTTTCGGGCACTAATGCTGGATTACTTCATTTATTTAGGATTGAGAAAGCAAAATTCTTCTACGAGAGTGTTTATACCTTCGCCAGATTGTGAATGCAGTTTTACTCATGACAGGTATTATTTGGTCATTTGTTTCACTAATTTGCTAACCCTCAAACATCCTAAGGGAAATGGCTAGAATTTCTGCTTAGTAAAAATAAACCCATTAGTGGTCCGTTTAGGATGACACTACATACATATACTATGCTGTTGAGTGTGTAAGTGCATAAGTACATAGTGTGCCATTTGGGGTTCAGCTATAGTCCTTTGAATGAGATCACAGCCTTAGCAAACCACTGTGTTCCAATCTATTTCCAATGAGTGAAAAACTATTACCAACCTACATTTTATTTTTTTGTTTGAGAGGCAATAAACTTGCCTTTACAAAGACAAAAATTCCAACTTCAGGCTAAATGTGAAAGTGTTGTGTCTTGCCTGAAACTCCTCGCCCTGAACAAATGGAAAGTTTTCGTCTCTGTGCTCCTCACACCAGCAGTCATTCTGGAATGTATTGCACACTATAATGCACTGGTCCCCATGGGCATCAAATCGGGGATTTATGTGGAGAGCGATGTCTTCAGAGCTGTTACCAATGTCAATGGTAAACCTGCAAAAGAGAAAGTGGAAGATATACTTTTTATTGCTTTTAACATTCTAGATTCTAATAGCTGCATTTTGGAAACTTACTCTGGGGATTCAGGCTTGGGGACTCCTGTAAGAGTCAGAGTCTGTCCAACCTTAAAGGCCATATTCTGTATAAGCACAGTCTAGAAGACAAAAAAGAGAGAGCGCACAGTGTGCTTAATTCCATATAAATAAATGTTCCTTTTGTATATCACACAGACTGATTAATCTGACACACACACACACACACACACACACACACACTACAGGTCCAGATAGCAGAACATGTGCATCCTCTTAAATTTGACTTGTACGGGTGTCTGGAGAAAAGCTGTGCATATATTCTGTAATGGCAACCATCAGATCACTAGCAACCACATAACAGCACCGTATAGCAAACACTCACTTTATCATAGCAACCACATAACAACACCCTATAGCAAACACTCACAGTTTCCTAATGTAAAAACTAGAAGTGACACAGCTTCGGATACTATGCATGCTCACATCAATATAGTATAATTTTAATGACACTGACTGTACAATAATCACTATTATATTTTAGTGTGAGGGGTAGGTTCAGGGTAGGGTAGATGTTCATAAAACACATTGATGGGTCATTTAAAAAATAATATAAATAATTGCTGTTAACTTCTGGCCATAGCTGTGCCGCTTCTAGCAACAACCACATACTAACAATAACCTAGCAATCATAGCAACACTATAAATACACAAATTCATTTGCAACAGCATAGCAACAATATTTTATAGATACCCCCTAAAATATAGTATATGGACCAACCTAATGTCTCATAGGTATTTTCTGAATAGGTATTATAAATATATATTTCTAATATATATTTGCCATGATGACAGTAAATAATATTTTAATAGATATGTTCAAGAAACATCTAAAAATCAAAGGGGGATAATAATTCTGACCTCAACTGTATATATACATACACACACCCTACTGAAAAATAACAGCTAAAACAGCTAGTTTTAGCTGATCGACCAGCCTGGTTTTAGAGGGGGTTTTGTCATTTCCAGCCTGGTCTTAGCTGAGAGCCCTGCCAAAACAAGCTATGTCCAGCTTAAACCAGGCTGGTTTAAGCTGTTTTTTTTCAGCAGCGTATATATATATATATATATATATATATATATATATATATATATATATATATATATATATATATATATATATATATATATATATATATATATATATATATATAAATATATATATATATATATATATATATATTAGAAAGTGTTAAGCTTGGATGGGCAAGTGTTGATGTTGTTTCTTGACTAAAGACTTAGCTGATCCAAATCTTTTTGTCTCAATCAATGTCATTTTCAGCTTAAAAAAAGAGGAAAACTTTCAAATACATTTGCATCTGTGTAAAGTAGGAAAATGTGATTTTGTGATAATTTGACAACCAAAACAATGGTGACTACAGGACTGTATGTGCACGTGTGTAATGTTTCTTTACGAAGTGACATCACCACTGGCCTCCCATGTATAAAACAAGTTGCAGAAAAGAGGACATTTTTTTCTTCTATGTCATTGCCGAAACTGTTAAGAAACATGAAAAGACAAAACTTTTTTTAATTAAATAATTTTAAGTTAACATAGCAAAACTTTAGGGTTTTAAAACTAAAATATTGGTTAGGCTTCCTTAAACCAACTGCAAAGTTTGTTTATTAACTTTACTTATCCACCATATGCAGATAAGAAGTTACTGTATCTTATCGTAGCTACCAAAATCAAACCTTACTGTATACAAGACTTCTGTGACTCACAGCTGCCACGAAAAGCAGATTTATATAGCTGTTTAATGATGACAGAGGAGATGCAGACTGCAGCTGGCTGAACAGTAAAGAGAAAGAAAATGATCAGACAGAGAGATAGGAAGTGAAAAGTTTCTGAATAAGAATGTAAAAGCACAGATGTGTAGCAAAAGTGAATTCTTTCCACATTAGTCTTTGTACATTTTTGCAGAAGAAGCCCCTGCAGAATGACCCCTCCTATTCCTTCCTTAATATTCTGTTTAGCTGCAAAAGGGAAGCAGGACAGTGATGCTCAGGCTTTCAGTTTAGCATTGTGAGAAATCACTGAGTCATGCTGCTTTCTCTGAGCTAAGCTAAAGGCCTCTTTACAATGCAGCTGAGCTTGAATTGGGCAGTCTTACTTCATTATTAGTAACGGCAGAAGACAGCAAAGTTAACGTCTGTCCTAAATTAAGCATGATTCACTTTTATTATTTGATTATGATGCAATTCTCAATAAACACATCAGCCAACTGATTTGAAATATAATTACATTTACGGAGAGAAACCAGCAGCCATTTCAGGGTCACAAGATCCTTTTGAAATCATCCTAATATGCTGATCTGATTTCTTACCACACAGTAAGAAACAGTTTCACATTTCATGGCTTAATATATTTTAAAATATTTTACACACTGTTTTTCATTAGCATCATTTTTTCCACTATTTGTTCATGTACTTTTGCAAAAAAATACAAAGTTTTTCTGTAACTTTTGGTCTATTTCAAGCATCCTTGCAAAAGAAAATAACTAACTTTTTTTTACCTAATCTTGATGACCTCAAATTATAGCAAACTATATTTGGGATACTATATATACATATATATAGTATATATATATATATATATATATATATATATATATATATATATAACAAGACCAAAGACATTAAAACTAAATTTTAAAAAGTGCTCAACTTTTTAGGAACCTCCCTTTTCCAAAGAATTTTAGGGCTTTTCTAGTCACATGATGTCACACTCACACTATTATACAAACATTAATAACAATTTAATCCAAAAATTGCTTTACTATTATTATTATTTTAAGTCTAAAGTTTGAAATTAAACTCATTTCATATATTCATGAATAAATTAATTAATATGGACAATATATATATATATATATATATATATATATATATATATATATATAAAATAAAAATAAGCACCATCACAACATTATGATGAAATTAGAAATAACCACATATAACAGTAAGTGTATTGAAGTTATGAGGGGTCACACCTATGAACAATGCACGTGGCTACAATATCTATAACATTCTACAATATGGCATACTATTGCATACTGCTATATGCTCTCTTACTCATAAACAAATCTTATAGTCCATTTGACATAAAACCTATCAATAATATATCGAGTTGTAATATACTCACGGGCATTTTGACGTCTTTTGAGACCCTTTGTGAGGTGAAATGAAGTGTCAGGTAGAAAGTTGAGCAGTGTGAGGGCTTCTTATATACCCACTGTGTTCAGCTCTTCAGATGGGTGATCTTTGCTTCAGCCAATTAGATTTCTTTGTCTGTCCCACCTTGACCAATCGCAAAAAAAAAGAGACACTGCTCGCTGCAGAGCCATTTAAGCAGAGCTGAGCTCCAGCGAGGGGGAGCATGAGCTCTCACTCCTCCTCTTATAAGCTATTTTAATGTGTACACCAACCCTACCCCCAGTGACATTACTCGTAGAAGTGCAAGAAAGGAGGAGCGAGAGCTCAAGCTTCCCCTCGCTGGAGCTCAGCTCTGCCCAAATGGCTCTGCAGTGAGCACCACTTGAAAAAAAGGCATGCAGAATTACTGTATAGCGTCTATTTGTAGGCATACCCTTGTAATGCGCTATAAACACACCTAATTAAATAAAACTGAACGAATTTAAGCACTGTGAATGTTGGTGTACATTGCGAGAGATGACATTTTATGTAATTACGCTTGTAAAGCATAACAAATGTACTTATTAAGGCTTTAATAAAATATTTGGCTTCGGTTTACAATGTGATTGAACGCGTATTGCAGTTGACAGGCTTATGAAGAGATGAAAAATGTCACAGGTTGTAAAACATACTGATCATATAATAAGTAGCAGTTGGTATCGGAGGTGATGTATTTGTGGTCTGTATGCTGGAATACTCGGCATTTTGGGGCTGGTGACATTAGGGTGTGGCACTGCCAATTTGCGCTGCTTTGCGAAAGTGACGAGCACATTAACATGAACGTGTTGTTTGCTTAGTCTAAACCTACAACCGAGCTTTCCCAGCAAAATAGAAGCTGATACGTTTTTGAAAGGGGCAAACTGTTTTTATAGTGCTGCGGGTTGAGACTGTCACACAGACCGCAAACTGGAAATGTTTTGGAGACGTAAAAAACATTCATTTTCTCTGGCAACAAGGTAATAGTGTTTTTTATCTACTTCCGATCTATTTAATGAATCCTTGTTTGACCAAAAAGTAGGGGAGATTCAGACAGTGGCAAGAGTTTTTGCATTTCCTTCAGTTTCTCAGAAACTCAACATTTTAATATAATAAACCCCTCACATCTATTGGACACCCACAGATGGCTATAATTTGTGTACACTGTAAAAAAAATAATAGTGAGTCACACAGTGAACAAAGGATCGCGCAACGTCACATAGCTGCAGCTATGTTGCGGTGAATCAAAACCAGTACTATAATGACTCTTAGATGATTCTGTTTTTCAAATTAATCATTTAGGTTAAAACACATGAACTGAAACAATCTGAATCGGCATTCATTGAAGCAGTTTATGCAAATGTTAGGGGCTCTGCACATTCAGTGGGTGCCAAATGAGCGCGATAAGGTTGGTTTTGTCTTCGATATGCCTGACACATTCAGTGATAGACAATAGCTCAGACGGTGATAGACAGATTGGCAATAACTCAAAAACCGCTTACCCTAAAAGGATCTAAAGTGTGTGTCTTTTATTTCGCTCGACATTACGACCACTGCTCCGTTTGAGGCCTCGCAATCTGCTTTTAGCCAGGAGAGCTCGCGTTAAGAGGAGCTCTGGTTGAGAACTACTTGCAGACAAAACTCTTTGTCGATGAGATGAAATTCTCTCTTTCTCTCCCTATCCATTCCTGTGACTTCCCTTCGCACTCAAATGGCCAAGGGAGTAAAAGAGAGAGCGAGAAAGAGGATGAGGGATGAGAGGGAGGGAGTTCCTATGATAATGCTGGAAAGACCTCAGGTTCTTTTCGCTTCACCCCCACTTGCTGTCGTTTTAGAGGCATTCCTCAGCTGAGCATGTTGCTTCCTGCACACTTTGACATGCTTAAAAATTTGCATTTAACAGCAAAGTGCTACCTGTGCAGTAGTCTATTTGATTAGACCTTCATAAAAAACAGTAATGGTGCTTGATGATCTCTTCGTTTTAAATAACCTATACCTTTAAGAAAATTGTTTAAATAGTTGGTGCATAAATTTGTGCACAGCAGATAAGAATATATAGTCTTGATTTATTTATTTATTTAGCTTATCTTCATTTTAAAAATGTGCTAAAGTAAAAATGTGCTAAAGTAAAAATAAACTTGCATTGCAGTGTCATTGGATAAAATGACAGAGGAAATAGACATAAGATAATTTTTCAGTGCAGCTAAATGCCAAGTACAAAAAGTTCACATATTAAGGCAATTTGGCTTTAAGAATGAGTGCTTATGAAAATACTATGTCACATTATCAATCACCGGAGAAAGAGAACGAAATAATTGAGGAACAAGCAGAGCAGGGTCAGGCAAGATGTACAGTGTCAGGTGGGTGTGCTTTATTGAAGGGATAAAGATAATTCTTTTGGGGAGAACAATTTCTTAATGTTTTCGGAGTTGTTGCTGTTCAGCACACTGTTAACCCTTACTGTAGATTATGCAGTAAATAACTGTAAAATAGCCAGTGTTTTGCTGTAATAAAAGGAAACAGTATTTTACTGTAAAAGGAGCAGGATTTGTATGAAATTTTGTAGTGCAAAGAATAAATTACAGTAATTTACTTTATGCATCCATTACAGATAGTTACTGTGATAATAAATGGTAAATTACTGCTCAACCATTATTACCCCATGTACTCTGATGCTTTATGTTGCTATATATATATATATATATATATATATATATATATATATATATATATATATATATATATATATATATATATGTATATATATTTTTTTATATATATATATATTTATATATATATATATATATACTTTTCAGTTTTGGTATATGTATGGTCAGTATTGAGGAGAAAGTGAGACAATGCATTGATGATGAGCTAAATTTCTCTGCAGACATCTTTGTGTTTTCTTTGGTTCCTTTTATGTTTTTAACATTGAGTATCAGGAGTCAACCAATGTCAATGTCACAGAGCTAATTAAAAGGTAAAGATATCGACGAGATGCATTTAAAGGCAAAAATATTCACACAGAGCAACCAAATTATCACAACCATTTTTATAACTTTGTTTACTTTTCTATAATTAATCTAATTTGCCTAGTTTAGCCTATAGTTAAGCTTTTAAATTGCACTTTAAGCTGAATATTAGTATTTTGCTAAATAACTAGTAAAAATGTGTTATTTAAAAAATATCTTAAACAGCACGTACATACATTTTTGCAGAGACTCAATTAATTTGTCTGGAAAACTTCAAATGAAGTAGGTAAAAGTGGCATTAACAGTATAGTATAAAGGCTTTCCTAAATAAATGTATAAATCAGGTTATTTTATTTATTTATTTATTTTTATTACTACAGGTTTGGAACAACATGTGGATCAGATTATTTATTATTATTATTATTTATTTATTTATTTTTTGCTTTGGATGAAGTTTTTATATTTTTATTGTTTTTATTCAATGATATGTGCATGATTGTGATAAATGTAGGCAGTTCCTTTGAAGGGCCGCAGTCCAGCAGAATTTAGTTCCAGCCCTGCTTCAACACACTACCTTTAGATTTAGTTTGATCAGGTGTGTTTAATTAGTATAACTGCACTGTTACTCTGTAGATTGTGCAGTAAATAACTGTAAAAAACAATGATTTAGGCATCACCACACACTCCCACAGGCTGTCCGTCTTATTCTAAACACAAAGGTGTTAGAAAGAGTTTTCAGAACCGGAAAGGGTGTACTTAGGATATTTGAGCTACAACGTTAGGCTATATGTCCCCCCGCCAATACGCTGTTACAAATGCCAAAAGTTCGGACACGTAGCGGCAGTTTGTAGAGGTAAACAGAGATGTGCGAGATGTGGGGGAGACCATGAGTATGGTAAATGTGGGCAGGAAGTAAAGCCAAGGTGTTGTAATTGTGGTGGGGAACACAGTGCGGGCTACGGAGGATGTCAAGTTAGGAAAAATGCTGTACAAGTCCAAAATGTCCGAATGTCTGAGGGAATCTCGTATGCTGAAGCTCTAAAGAAAGTTAAACAGACATCAAGAGAACCAGAAACCAGAGTAACAGAATCTCAACAAAAAGCAACGATGAAAGAACAAAATAAAGATAATGAAGTATGTATTGACAAAGTATCGTTCGTCACATTTATAGCAGAAGTAGTTAATTGCTCTGCGCAGACGGAGAGCAGGACCGAGAGAATTAAAATTATCATCAGAGCTGCTTCAAAATATTTGGAATTAGAGGGTGTTACAGTAGATATGATAAATGATAGACTCAAGATACAATCAGGAACTAGTCAGACAGTATATAGTCAACCATGTGGAAGTATATAATGGTATTAACAATACTGCAGTGGAATGCAAGAAGCCTAATTGCAAATGGACAAGAATTTAAAAAATTCATAGTAGATCATGAAAATAGCCCTGACATCATATGTGTTCAGGAAACTTGGCTTAAGTCACATTTAGATTTTGTAATTAATGGATACACTTCGGTAAGAAAAGATAGAGACAAGTCTAATGGTGGTGGGGTAGCTACATTTATTAAACAGAGTATTGGGTATAGGGCAGTTGAGATCACTGGGGAACAAGAAGCTGTGGCAGTTGAAATATGCGATGGAACACAGAAAGTTAGAATAATAAACTATTATAATCCATGTGATAAATTAAGTAAGGACAATCTAGAACATATCCAAGGGAATGGAAATAATAAAATCGTGTGGTGCGGGGATTTTAATGCTCACAACACTTTATGGGGGAGTAAAAAAACAGATTACAATGGACTAATTATAGAAGATATGCTGGATTGGGGAGGATTAGTATGTATCAATGATGGAGGTTACACAAGAGTAGAGTTAATAAAAGGAAAATATTCAAATTTAGATTTAACACTAGTTTCTGAAAGCCTAGCTGGAAGATGTGATTGGAAAGTATTAAAGCAAAACACAATTGGTAGTGATCATTATCCAATTCTAAGTTCAATTGGAATACAGATAATTCGAACTGTGGTAGAAAGAATGCCAAGGTGGAAATTCAGA